ACACACACACACACACACACACACACACACACACACACACACACCCTAGCCCCTGGCAACCACTAATGTCTTCACATTTCTGTTCTCTTCTCTATTTTGTCATTTTGAAAATGTTATATAAATGGAGTCATACAACATGTAACCTTTTGGGATTGGCTTTTTTCACTCAGCATAATTCCCTTGAGATCATCCAATTTGTTGCCTGTATCAAGAGTTAATTCCTTTTTATTGCAATAGTATTCCATGGTATGGATGCTCCACAGTTTGTCTAACCATTCACTTGTTGAACGACATCTGAGTTGTTTCCAGTTTTTGGCTATTATGAATAAAGCTGCTACGAACATTCATGTACTGGCTCGTGTGTGAATATAGGTTTTCATTTCTCTGGAATAAATGCCCAAGAGTACAATTGCTGGGTCATATGGTAATTGCTTGTCTAGTTTTAAAAGAAACTGCTAGACTGTTTTCCAGAGTGGCTGTGCCTGTTTCATAATTTTAAGAGGATTTTAGCTATCAGAGGGAAGGCGTTCCAGGTAGAGTGGAGAAGTCTGCAGAGATCTGGAGTTTGAAAGTGCATTGCGAGTTTATGGAACAGCAGGGTGTTTCATGTTGCTGGGATATAGTCTGGGTTTAGCTGATGAGGGACCACAGGTTTGCTCCTCACTCATTCAGTCAGCAATTTTTACTGAACTCTTAACGTGTGTCAGATGCTGTTCTACGTGCCTGGAGGCACTGCCTTCAGAAGCCTGAGTCCAGGAGAAAAGACAGAGGTGAAATAATTGCAAGGTGCATAGTGTGTAAGGGGGAAGGAGAGCCTTCAGGAGGGTATGATGGGGGCATCCACAGACCTCTGGTGCTTTCCATGAGGGCAGGGACCATGCTTGTCTCATTCTCCCCTGGGCCCCAGCACATAGTAGGCAATCGATAAATACGTGTTAAATGTTGAGTGAACGATCTCATCCAGTATACATGTTCCCTGTGAGTGTCACCTGTCCATTGCCCTCTGTAAGCAGCTGCACATCCCAGTCCCGCCATGTGGGTAAAAGGGCAAAGGCTCGGTCCAGACACCCCACCCTCGAGTGAATTACCGCACCACAGATTGGAAGCCAGCGTGACATACAAAAGGTTGGAAGCTCTACTGTAAATTTTTAATTGTTAAACAAGCAAAGAGGGTTGTAAATTCTGTGTGGCGGGACAGTATTGCATAGTGTGCCTGTTGCCGCCGCCAAGGTTTCTTATCAGCCCGTTAGGGTTTCGCAACCTCTCCTGCTTCTTGCATGTTACAGAGGCCCCTCTGCAGGGTCTCTGGGACATGGTGCAATGCCCTCCTTTTTCCCGTGGGGGTGGCGACCAGGCTCTCTGTGCATCCTCTGTCTGACTTCCCCTCATCTGTCTCATGCCTAGATTTTCTCCAAAGGAACATCCAGTGCTCGCCCTACCAGGGGCCCCAGCCCAGTTCCCCGTCCTGGAGGAGCATAGGCCGCTCCAGAAGTACATGGTATGGTCAGACGAGATGGTGAGGACAGGAGAGGCCCAGATCCGCACCCACCTCCTCCGGCCTTATGTGGGCATTCACCTGCGCATTGGCTCCGACTGGGTAACTTCCCCCTTCCTCTCACGGCTGGGTTGGACATAACCCTAAGCGGGGACCGTGCCTGTGGGAGTTGAACACTGAACCTATTGCGCCAAGTCCCAGCCAAGGCAGAGAGGTCTTGCTCAGCCAAGTCCATGGGACTCTGTCCCATGATCCTGCTATAGACACATCAGAAGTGTGCCTCCAAAGTGCTTGTTTGCCAGCTCAAATTTTTTTTTTTTTTTTTTTTTGGTGAGGAAGATTAGCACTGAGCTAACATCTGCCAGTCCTCCTCTTTTTGCTGAGGAAGATTGGCCCTGGGCTAACATCCATGCCCACCTTCTTCTACTTTATATGTGGGATGCATGCCACAGCATGGCTTGATAAGTGGTGCGTAGGTCCGTGCCTGGGATCTGAACCTGTGAACCCCGGGCCTCCGAAGCAGAATGCACAAACTTAACTACTATGCCACCAGGCCAGCCCTGCCAGCTTAATTTTTAACAGTTGCCATTTTTATCCTCATTTTGCAGATGAATAAACTGAGGTATCAAGCAAGATCCTGGGCCAGGCAGCTAGCCAGAGAGAGACCCACAGCCCAGGAGTCCTCTTCCCAGCTCAGTGTTTAGTCAGTAGACTCCTTGTTGAAAAACTAGTTCTGGAGATTGTGTGGGGCTCCCAAGAAATGAAGATATCCTCCGAATCTGGAGGCTGCTTAAATGTGCAGAAACCTCAGATTATCCTCCATGTGAACATAACAGGAGCAATGTAGACAAACTCCTTGATTTATATAAGAAGATATGTATATGTATGTTTGTATGTTAGAAATGCTCATTGTGAGGCCGGCACCATGGCTTAGCGGTTAAGTGCACGCGCTCCACTGCTGGCGGCCTGGGTTTGGATCCCGGGCGCGCACCGACGCACCGCTTCTCCGGCCATGCTGAGGCTGCATCCCACATACAGCAGCTAGAAGGATGTGCAGCTATGACATACAACTGTCTACTGGGGCTTTAGGGGAAAAAATAAACAAATTAATAAAATTAAAAAAAAAAAAAAAAGAAATGCTCATTGTTCTTTTTTTTTTTTTTTGTGAGGAAGATCAGCCCTCTGCTAACATCTGCCAATCCTCCTCTTTTTTTGCTGACGAAGACGGGCCCTGGGCTAACATCCGTGCCCGTCTTCCTCCACTTTATATGGGACGCCGCCACAGCGTGGCTTGCCAAGCGGTGCATCAGTGCGCGCCTGGAATCCGAACCGGCTAACCCCGGGCCGCCGCAGCAGAGCTCATGCACTTAACTGCTTGTGCCACCGGGCCAGCCCCAGAAATGCTCATTGTGGAAGACTTGAAAAATACTGAAAAGTGGAGAAATTAGGTCAAAATTCATTCAGAGTCAATTGAGGAAGTAATCACACATTTACCTACTAGACTCCCTCCCTGCCCTCCTTCCACAAAGAAAAGGAGCCAGGTCCAGAATATTTTATGAGTGGTTTCAACTAAACTTTCAAGAAACAGGTAGTTCCCATCTGTACTTAACTAGAATATAAAAGGATGTAGGTGCTATTTTTTATAAAGCTAGCATAACACTAATACCAAACTCAGATAAGGTTGACTCAGAAAAGTATAGCCCATTCTCACTTATGAGCATAGATGCACAGATCCTAAGTAAAATATGAGCAAGTAAAGTCCAATAACATTAAAGAACATACAACATAAACAAGTAAAATTTATCCCAGGAATGCAATGAAATTCACTATATTAATACCCAAAGAAGAAAAATCATATAATCATCTCAACAGAGGCCAAGAAAGCAGTTGATAAAAGTCGACATTCATTCACGATTAAATAAAAATTAAAAAAAAACTCTTACCCAACCAGGAATAGAAGGGACCCACCTTAACTTGATAAAGGCTATCTCTCTGAAACCCACAGCAAACATGTACTGCATGGGAGCTATCAGAAGTGTTCCTGCTGAAGTCAGAAATCAGATAAGGCTGCCTATTATCACCACCACGGTTCAGAATTGTACTGGAGGTCCCAGATAATGTAGTAAGACCAAGAAAAAAAAATTTGTAAAAAGCCAATATCCCGCTACCCAGAAATAACCACTGTTACTGTTTTGATGCATTTCCCTCTTCCCTCGATGTTTTTTTTAAAAACAGAGTTGAGATCCTCATTGTATTGCCTGCCTTTTCCACTTACCGGCTCTTGCTTCTGGGGTTCCAGCCAGTTGCTGTCTTTAACTCTGTCCCCCCACCCCATCCTGTAGAAGAACGCCTGCGCCATGCTGAAGGACGGGACTGCAGGCTCCCACTTCATGGCCTCTCCGCAGTGTGTGGGCTACAGCCGCAGCACAGCGGCCCCCCTCACCATGACTATGTGCCTCCCCGACCTGAAGGAAATCAGGCGGGCCGTGAAGCTCTGGGTGAAGGCACTGAACGCGCAGTCGGTCTACATTGCCACGGATTCTGAGAGTTACGTGCCCGAAATCCAACAGCTCTTCAAAGGGAAGGTAGGCGCGGGCCAGTGGGTGTGCAGGGGGCAGGGACTCAAGGAAAGAGCTAGGGTGCTTCATGACCTCCCACCCCAGGCTTTTGCTTGGACATCCAGTTCCTCTCTAGTCCCTACCCATCTTTCAAACCCCGGCTCAAACACCTCCGCAGTTGCTCTCCAGTTTTTCTCCACTCCTGTATCTCACGTGTCCCTACTGGGAGCTGTAGCTCCCAGCTCTTTATCACATCTTCTCTTGAGACACTTTCTAGACTGTGTGAGACTAGGGTAGAAACATGTCCCGGCAGTTGTGGCTCCTTGAAGGCGGGATCCAAGGCTGACTCACTGTTCTGTTCCTTGGCATCTAGTCTGGTGCTTTGACCTCCTCCAGGGCTGAGACCCCACCCTGCCATCACCAGTGTCTAGGACAGTGCCTAACACATAGTGGACTCTCAGTTTGTTGAATAAGGGCGTAGACAGTGGGCCCTTGGTAGAGATCCAGTGTAGCAGAGAAAGTAAGAGCATGGACTCTGGAGCCAGAGAATTGGGCTCCACTCACTGTGCAGCCTTGCACAAGTTACTTTATCTCTCTGTGCTTCTGTTTCCTTGTCTATAAGATGGGACTGAGTGTAGTACCTAGATCATAGAGTGATTGTGAAGATCAGGTATAAAGAAATTAAAACAGTTCCGGTACAAAATAAGTGCTCAATAAAGTTAGCTGTTGTTGACAGTAGAAGTAGGTGGTTGATGAGTAAAGGGAAGGCTCTTTTGTGCTTAGTAAATGCTGAAGGAAGCGGTGAATAGTAGGTATTCAGTATATGAACAAATAACAGAATGTGCTTGGTACTGTATGAGTGGAGAGTCGGCAATGAGTAAGTATGTGTGGATAAAAGGACTGAATTAGTAGTAAGCATTCAGTAAGACTTTGTTGAATGAATGCAAGCCCTCGATGCTTGTGCAGAACTTAAAAGGCAGACACCTGCTTTCTAGCAGTGGATGCCCTTGGCTTTATGTCGAGGGGCTCCCTGTCTCTCTCTTACGCCAGACACCGGCTGGAAGCCCCGGCTGGTAGAGAACATGCTGAGTCAGTGCATTCTGGTCTTCCACCCCACCCCCACTTTAAGGAATGTCAGAGCTGGGAGACCTTGGAGCACCTCTGCTCAACCCTGGCGTGTTGTAGCTGAGGAAAGCAAAGTCCCAAGAAGGGATAGAATTTACCCAAGAGGTCTCAGAGCTAATTATAGTGGGCATGACACAGAGCGGGTAAGTTTCAGGGCGTGGGTGGAATTGTTCGGGGGATTTTGCCATGATTAAACTAGTATTATTTCTTTGCTACCATCCACATAGCAAGATGATGATTTTTGTTACATCAGAAATCTCTGTGTGACAGCAAAGCACTTTCAGCCCCAGCTCTGCCCACACCCCCACCTCTGTACTAAGTGGAAGCACTTGGAGAGCCCCAGGGAGTTTTTGTGTGTTTTAGAGTTGATGTGTTTGTTACGCCTTGAGCCTCCTGCCATTTTCTGCTTCCTGTTGCTGTGCTGTCCTTGCCCTTCCCAACTCCTCAGCCCCCCACTCCACGGGCTCAGAGCCCACCCTTCCTCATGAACTAAGCCTCCTCCGCCGTGAAGCTGGGCAGGTGCTGAGCTGCGGATACTGATAAATAAGTTGTGGGGCTGCCCTGCAGGGCTCACAGTCTAGATGCAGGAAAGAGACTCTGCAGAGGGCCATCATATACTCCACAAGAGAGGTCCGCAGATGGAGGTGGGGCTCACTCGTCCAGTCAACAGATGTTTACTGGGACAGGTCCCAGTCAGCGTGACAAGCAAACTGACACAGCCCCGACCCCAGTCAGGTGCAGGAGGTGGACGTTAATCAGAGTCACTAAGGAATGAAAACCATCAACGGAGATGTGTGCTCCAAAGTAAAGAAACGTGGTTCTGTGGGAGTGTAGAACAGAGGATCCTGGCCTTGTCCGGGGGGCCAGGGAGAGCTTCCCCAAGGAGGTGACACTTGAGCCACAGAATGAAGGTTAAGTAGGCGTTAACCAGGCAAAGAGACAAGCACCCCAAACAGAGGGAACAGCACATGCAAAGGTCCTGAGGAGGAGGGAGCCTGGTGTGTAGTGGCTGGAGCTCAAGGGATCATGGGGGAGGTATATGAGGAGATGGAGAGGTGGCCTGAACGGGGCCTTGTGGACCTCATTCAAGATTTGTCATCTTTTTTTTTTTTTTTTTTTTTTTGGTGAGGAGGATCAGCCCTGAGCTAACATCCATACTAATCCTCCTCTTTTTGCTGAGGAAGACCGGCTCTGAGCTAACATCTATTGCCCATCCTCCTCCTTTTTTTTTTCCCCCCAAAGCCCCAGTAGATAGTTGTATGTCATAGTTGCACATCTTTCCGTTGACATGACCCCAGCATGGCCAGAGAAGCGGTGCGTCGGTGCGTGCCCGAGATTCGAACCCAGGCCGCCAGTAGCGGAGCGCGCGCACTTAACTGCCAACCCACGGGGCCGGCCCCAAGGTTTGTCATCTTTATCTGAAGAGCAATAGGGCACCATTTAAGGGTGTACAGCTTGGGATGGAGGGAGGGACAGCCAGGTAGGAGTATCTAAAAAAATTTCCTCTGGCTGTTCTGTGGTGAGCAGACCAGGAGGAGAGGCAGCAAGGAGAACAGTGAAGAGGCAAGAAATTATGGTGGCTGCCAGGGAGTGGTAATCCATCAAGAGAAGGGTTCACCTCTGGGGAGTATCTCTGGGATAGATTGGACACGACTTTAGGCTTGGAGGCATCCAGACAGCAGAACTGGATGGGTGGGGCGCTCTGGTTAGATCAGCTTGTTAGGGGAAGCCAAACCTGTCAGGCTAGGGCTTCAGGAGAAATGTGTAGAACTTGAGCTGAGCTGTGAGAGTATGGTTGGGATTTTAATGGGAAAGGAGAAGGCATTCCAGGTAGAGGGAACTAACAAGCAAAGGCATAGAGTGTTTAGAGCTGAGGCTGGCTGTGGGGAAAGGGTGCTGGAGAGAGGGGTGTTCCATGTGGGGGTGGGCCGAGGCAACACTGGACATCACTTCTCTCAAACGCCCAACCCTACATCTGAATCCTCTCTGCAGCTCTTTTTATGTCTGTAACTTCAGCACAGGAGAAGAAGGCTGGGGGTATGGCTGCAGGCCTTGGTCAAGCCGGCCACCTTGGCCTGCACCCTGGCTAAAACGCCCTGCCCTTCCTCCTGCAGGTGAAGGTGGTGAGCCTGAAGCCTGAAGTGGCCCAGATCGACCTGTACATCCTTGGCCAAGCCGACCACTTTATTGGCAACTGTGTCTCCTCCTTCACCGGCTTCGTGAAGCGGGAACGGGACCTCCAGGGGAGGGCGTCCTCTTTCTTTGGCATGGACAGGCCCCCTCAGCTGCGGGATGAGTTCTGATCCTCGCTAGAGCACATCACCAGTGTGAGCTGGTCCCTCCAGCCAGGCCTGGCAACCAGAGATGCTTCCAGAATTGATCCCCAAGGGAACAGGCTTCTCTTCTCTCTTGTCACAGACAGAGAAAAGTACCAGGGACCTCCTGGAGGAGGAAGACAGTGCATCTCCCGGGGCACAGGACTTCCAGGCTCCTGGGAGCCAGAGCACTTCCCCTCCTCTTGTGCTTCCTGCTGTTTCTCCTGGGAATTTCTCACACCAGCAAAGCAGTCCAACCTCTGTCTTTTGGTCTGCCCTGTTCTGAGCAGCCTGGGATGCTGAACTCTCTTCAGAGAGATTTTTTTTATAGAGAGAGAGATTTTTATAGTTTTGATACAAGGTCATGACTACCGTAGAACTCTCCCTCATTTTAAAAAATCAGTGAAGTTCATTAATGTAGGTACCTAAAGTGACCTTAACTGAATGTGGATGAGGCTAGGGGTGGAGTGGGTGTATTGGCTACTTTTCCGGATGACCCCCAAAGTGGCCCTCAGACTCATCCCACTGCCTGACCAGAGCCATTGTCGACCCTTCTTCCTATTAAACTTCCTATTAAACCCATTTCTAGGGTTTGGGGCATGAACAGTCTCCTCCGTTGTAAACTCTATGCAAATAGAAGTTATTAGTCAGGGTGCTGTGCAGGGCTCCACAGGCGGCTAAGTGCTGCTCGCACAGCATGTTCCCAGCAAGGAGCATACCCCATCAAGCCCACCATCATCATATTACCCTCAGTTAAAGTCTCTTGCTAGTTGGTGGCCTGCCACAAACCTGGCACCATCAGGGTCTCATAACACATCAGAGGCCAGGGCTTGCTGGGCTGGTGGGATCCTTCTGAAGGCTGCTGTCTCTTCTGATCTCTAGTCCCAAGGAGCCTGGTTGTAGAATATTGCCATTGAGTTGGTATCCAAGGCCGCTCTTCCCAGCCTCCCTCCTGTGGCTGGAGCCCCCAGGCCATATTTTCACAAGGAGGTGTTTGTTGGGCCTCTGACCAGGTAGAAGATGCCCAGGACCCAGGAGCCATCAGAATTCCCAGTTTGGAAGCAACTTTTGCCCCTTCCTGTCCAATGTAATCTCCGCCAACCCCGTGAGGCTTAACATGTTAGAGTTGTAAGTTTCTTTGTCTCCCACATGCTGCAGTTGTAATAATCCGTGACTCCTGAGAAGCTGTGATTTTTTGGCCTTTTGGTTCTAAAATTCAGGTTTAACACCTGCTGGTCTCTTCCCTGCCAGGTGACCTCCCTTGGCCTTTGATCCTGGAAAGGTAGAGGAGACTGATGAGAGCCAGGCCCAGAGCTCCATGCACGGCTTCTCTCTTGCTTACCTTTGGGAAGAAATACTTCTTTTGTCAGGGCAGACTGGGTCAGAGGCTGCAGGGCAACAGATCTCAAACACCAAAGGTGGCATTTGCTACTTAGAACTGCCTCCCGACTCTTAGCAGAGAAACTATACAGAAAGGGCTTTTGTATTTTGCCTGCTGGGAAAACTGAAATGTTTTAAATCCTGGGTGGACTCTGAGAGATGGTTTATCTGTTCAGACTTGTTCAGGAGCCTCATTCAGAGACACAGAAGCCCTGTGCACCCCTGCCTCCATCCGATAGTTGGGAATGTGTGGCTTACCGGCTGGCTTCACTTGCTGGATTCATTTGCCATTCACAGCCTCACACTAGGCACATACGTTAGAGTCTCGGGCTCTAATGGGCCATCCAAATCATGTTGATTAGCATCAGCAGTGATAACAGCTTGTGTTCTGGAGGAGAGGGTGCAGGAGTTGTAGTCAGATTCAGCGTGTTGCATAGGCAAGCACTTTATTCCTCTTTGGCCCAGTTTCCTCACCTTTAAAATGGTGATAAAACTGACGGGGTTGTTGAAAGGCTCAGATCAGATAAAGCACATCTAAGAGCACATTGTACACTTGAAAGAGACAAAGGCACCTATGTGGCTGTTGATTAATTTGACTGCCTCTTGTGTCATACCTACTCTGTGCCAGGCACTGTGCTTGTTAAGTGCTTTATGGGCATTCTCTGGTTTAGGAGACCCACCCCATCCCTGGGAAGTAGGAACTGTTAATATCTTCTTTCTGCACAAGGAAAAAATGAATGCTCAGAAAATTCTCATAATTTTCCCAAGGCCACACAGCTGGTGGTATTAAGCCAGGATTCAACCTCCCAAAGCCAGTACTGTTAGTCACCGTGCTCTGCTGCCTCCAGGTCACAAGGGTGCACTTTATGCTGTGTGTGCCACGGAGGCCTCCGATGGAAAAATGATCAGCACCTTAGTTGCCATTGGGCTCCTGCTATGGGTCTGCCACTGCAAAGGTTTTGGGGAGAGGGAGATCACCCAAGGAACAGAAAGCCCATGTGAAGCTGGCAGTTCTCTTGGGTGGTTATTTAGTTCAACATTCTTTCATTCAACATATATTTATTGATCACCTACCATGTTCCAGGCTCTGTGCTCGGTACTAGGGATTCAGCAGAGAATCAGACATAAGGTCTTTGTTCTCAAGGAATTTACATTCTAGTAAGTAGAAGAGACAATAAACAAATGTACCATGGGAGGTGTTGATGATTAGGTGTTATAAAGAAAAATAAAGGGTGTGGGGGTGCAGAGGGTGAGCAGTGCTGTTTAGACAAGGAGTTCAGGTGAGGCCTCTCCGAAGAGCTGCTGTGGAGAGGGAGGGGCACACTCATTCAGACATCTTAAGGCAGCGCGTTCCTGGCAGACAGCAAGTGCAAAAGTCCTGAAGCTGGAGTGAGTGTTTGAAGAATAGCAAGGAGGCCAGCATGGCTGAAGCGAGGCAGGGAACAGAGCAATAGATCAGAGCAGGAGAGGTGACTGTCCTGCAGCCTAGAGGGCAATGGTAAGGTCGAGACGGGGCTTTTATTTGGAGAAAATGAGAAGCCTTTGTAGGGTCTGAACAGAGAGAGGTGTCATGGTCTGATTTACATTTTTGAAGGACCTGTCTGGCTGCCACGTGGAAAAGAGATGAGAGGGAGGAAGGGTGGAAGCGGGGAGATGGATGCAGGGCTGCTGCAGGGATGCAGGGGAGAGAGAGGATGGGACTCAGGATGGCACTCAGGCAAGAGTCGTTGCATTGAAGGTGGTGGGAAGTGGTCAGATCATGGATATACAAAATTATTTTTAAATTTCAATTTTTTTTAAGATATGTCTTTGCATAGTTTTAATCATGCAATATATAGAATTTAATGTCCTGTTTTTCACTTAATAGTATATTTTCCATGTTGGTACATAGCCTGAATAAACATCTTTAGTGACCTAAAATTCCATCGAGAGCTGTCCCACAGTGTATTGTTGTCCTATTATGAGAATTTAGTATGTTCTCAATTTTTCACTATTATGAAAATATTTTTATTTGTAAGGTTTCTTTCTGTATCTAAAATTTTCATTAAGATAAATTCCCAGAAGTGGATTTGTTAGATCAAAGACTTAAAAATAAAAACTTTTCTTATGGAAAAACTCAAATATACATAAAAATTGTGTTGAATCAAATGAACTCCCAGTTTCAACAACCTTCAACATTTCACCAGTCTTGTTTCGTTTACCATCCCACCCCCATTTCTGTTTGCTGGAGTCTTGTACAGAAAGTCTAAATATGTTTTGAAGGAAGAGCCAACAGAGTTTCCTGACACGCTGAATTGGGGTAGCAGGGAAATAGAGAAGTCCGGGATGCTCTGAGGTTTAGGGCCCAAGCAACAGGGAGAAGGAGTCGTCCTTGACTTGCAGAGTAACCTTGAGGCGGGTCTTCTCACCTCTCTGTCTCACCTCTGAGTTCCAGGTGCTAGTGGTGGTCCAGGCAGTGTTTCTCAAAGGTGGTCCCCCGAGGTTCCTCGGATGCTGGTTGATAAGGCAGATTCTGGGGACCTACCCAGACCTGAGGGATCAGAATGTCTGGTGGGTAGAACCCAGGAATGTGCATCTTAAGAAGCACCTACAAGTGATTTTGATGCCCAGTGGCCCAAGACGCACTTAAATTGTGGTCCTCAGACCAGCAGCATTGACATCACCTGGGGAAGCTTGTTAGAAATGCAGACTCCCAGGCCCCACCCCAGAACTACTGAATAAGAATCTCTGGGGATGCGGCCCAGGAATGTTTTAACAAGCTCCGCGGGAGCTGAAGTTTGAGCAACAGTGGTCTGAAGGCTGTGGGCATCGTGCACTGTGGTCAACCAGCAAGCAGCTATGGAGGGCCCTGGCGAGCCTTGAAGGTTCCACCAAGCGTGGTCAACGGGATGGCTTTAGGAGGTGCCCAGTACTGCTTAGTTTGTGTTGTAACATTGACTTATTTCTCTTATTGTGCATTGGGGAAAATGATACAACCCAATAATCAAACTCTTGATTTAATGGATTTCATTGTTTTAGGATGGGACCAATTATATGTACATAAAACAATGGGAGTTATATTTTTAAAAAATTAAGTATGGGGCTGGCCCGGTTGCGCAAGCGGTTAAGTGCACGCGCTCCACTGCGGTGGCCCGGGGTTCGCCGGTTCGGATCCCAGGCGCACACAGACGCACTGCTTGTCAAGCCATGCTGTGGCAGCGTCCCATATAAAGTGGAGGAAGATGGGCATGGATGTTAGCCCAGGGCCAGTCTTCCTCAGCAAAAAGAGGAAGATTGGCAGATGTTAGCTCAGGGCCGATCTTCCTCACAAAAAAAAAAAAAGTTTAAGTATGTACCAGTAGAGGTGGGTTGTGGATTAGGCAGAAACGGAGGAGCTGGTATTCAGCTGGGAAACGCTGTCCTGATACCTCATAGATCCTCCAGGAATAGGGAAGGGAGCGGAAAGGAAAGAAAGAAAGAGAGACAGGATGGAAGGAGGAAGAAAGAGTTGAGCTCTCATTTCCATGTTCTGTTCGCTCCAGAGAAGCTTAGTGAATAATAATAATAAGCTTTCCCTGGCCCGAAAATCAGGATCCCTTTCAGTCCTCAGTTTTCTCTCTATCCTTAGTGGAGTTGACAGAAAAAAACATAGCCTGAAGGCAAATCCTGTGCTCTGGATTATGTTGTCAGAATTAATTCAAATTCTTACTTGAAAACGGATTTATTTCAAGGTTGGGACCTTTCCCTTGAAATGACGTTATTTAAGGGCAAGCAGGTTTGGTTTGTTTTTACATCTAATCCTTCACTGATCATCAGCCCTGGACATCAAGCCCAACCAGGTAAACAGCGGGAGGGGAAGGAACAAAAGGCATTTCCCAGAAACCGCCTGCTTCCCCTGGCAGTGACTCAGCAAAAGTGGGGAACAGTGCCCACCCAGGGCTGGCCGAGGAGGGGCACCCCATCACTCTCTGAAAATCCACCTTTCTCAAAAAAGTTTGGGTGACACGTTGAGCCATTTGGCGTTTGTTCTCTAGAGCGTGGGGGAAGTTCCCCCTCCCTAACAGGGTACAAGATGGTTTAGGAGGTGCGGGGCACGAGCAGGAGAGAACTGTCTTTTCAGTGTTTTCTCAGTCCTGCAACAATGCCAAAGAGAAAGTCTCAGTTCGCTGCCAGCATGTCATGCACTTCTCTACCACTTGCTAATAATCTTTTCCTAGTAACAGAGAAAGCAATGTTAGCTAGCTAGAATTTAGTTAACACTGTTTGCTTTCATTATATTTATTTTTTGGATACTTCGTATTTTCATTTGCTCGTTTACAGATGTGGTTTAAAGTTTCCTTTTAAGAAATTTATTTAGCTTACAAAAAAGTGAGTTGATTTAGAGAAAAATATTAAGTAAATGATGTGGTATGATGTATGAAGATGAAGTCTGGGAGACCCTCGCTCAGCCTGGTCTTTATGTCGGCCCTGCAGACCTCAGAACAAGAGCCATGGGGCTGTGGGGGAGGGGCAAGTATTGAAATGCAGTAAGAGAGAAACCCTGCTGTCCATTCATCCTCCAGTCCCTCCAGTCACAACTCCATGTTATTGTTAAGGCTTTCTGTCTGCTTGTATAATACTCATTAACGTTTCAAGATCTTATTCTAAGAAATCTTCCTCTTCTGAGCTCCCGTAGCACCTTGAAATTTGAAACTTTCACCTTGAAAGTGAATAAGCACTTTACAGAAGCTAACTCATCTAATTCACAGAATAACTCTATGAGGTTGGTCCTCTTATTATCTCCATTTTACAGATAAAGGCACTGAGGCACAGAGAAGTGAAGCAACTAGCTTAAGGTCACATAGCTCATGAGTGGCAGAGCTGGGATTCCAGTCCTGGAAGTATGAAACAAGAGTCAATACCCTTAACCCCTGTGCTGCACTGCCCCTCACGTCACTTATCAGAAGACATTTGCTTCTCAGTTTCCCCAGCTAGACCAGAGTTTCTCCAAGAACAAGAGCCATGCCTGATGTATCTCCCTATGCCAGCACCTGACCCAGTGCATGGCTTATAAGAGTGCCCGTTGTATATAAGTTGAAGGCATGAATATGCAGAGAAAGTGGTCTGGGTAGGTGAGATGACTTCTGGCATCGTGGAAGATTCAGGGAGAAGGTAGGAGTTGAGTTCAATGATGCGTATGATTTCATCAGGTACTCATGAGGAAGAAGAAAAGGAATTCTGGATGGAGGAAACAGCATGAGCAAAGGTGCAAATAGGGGACCATAAATTGTCTAGTTTGGCTGGATTGGGGGAAGAGTTTGAAAACTTCATTGGGAGGCCAGCCCCGTGGCTTAGCGGTTAAGTGCGTGCGCTCCGCTACTGGCGGCCCGGGTTCGGATCCCGGGCGCGCACCGACGCACCGCGTCTCCGGCCGTGCTGAGCCCGCGTCCCACATACAGCAACTGGAAGGATGTGCAGCTATGACATACAACTATCTACTGGGGCTTTGGGGGAAAAATAAATAAATTAAATTTTTAAAAAAAAAAAAAAGAAAACTTCATTGGGGTCAGAACGTGGCAGGAGCGCAGTGCCTTGAATGCAAGAGTGAAGAGCTTGTATTCCTAGGAGCAATGGGGAGCCAGTGAGGGCTATGATGCAAGGGAAGTGACACAATCAGAACTGGGCATTAGGGTGGTTGATATGACTGTGGGTTTAAAACAACTGCAGGGAAAGTCTGTAAAGTGAAAACCAGAAAAAGAGCTAAGTTTG